AGTGCAGAAACTAAAGATTTCATATTCAGCTTTTTTTTAAATTACAGGTGGTAATTAAAACTTCTTTGGGAACACTCAGGAATCTTAGTTCACAAGACAAAACAGAAATCTTTGAAAGATGAGGTATCGCTTGCATTTCAAAAATGGGCGTTTAATAAAGCAGAAGAGAAACCTCCATTCTGCCACTGAGAGAGACAAATTTTCAGAGACACTTACAGGGTCTACATCCCTTCTCCCAATAAGACTGCCCAAATGAAAAAATAATAGCTGGCTGGAGTACACTCTGATGCTGGGTGTCTTAATCAAAACTGAGTTCCTCTCATCTTATCAAGATTAAAAAGGTGTTTCATCATGTCTTTATTCTCAGCAGTGCACAATGTCTCATGAAGCTTCCCTGTAAAAAGGATGAAAAAGGCTCATACATATTGGTATATTTGATTATGATGATTCCCCAAAGTGGATTCACCCTGGCTCTAAGCAATGTATAATGGTCCATGGAAAAAAATCAGGTGTTCTTAAGACTAGCTATTCTGGCCAAGAAAAGTAGTTAAGACAAGAAATACTCTATACCCGTGGGGTCCACTACACTGAATGTTTATGCTAAGACTGTGTTTGAATTCTAAGGAGTCCCAGGAAATACAGGCTGGGAAGGAAGGGAAGAAGGTATAGCAAAGTTGCCATCACTTTCATTCTGCTATATTAATTTTCATATTAAATGCAATTAGCAAGGGCTTTTAGTTAAATAATATTTTCTATGGAAAAAATGCCTAATGCCTAAATTGACTGTCTTCCCACTTACAGTCTTCTTTTTCTCTGAAAGCTTGGTAATTAAACCAATGAGCTAGTACTACCTGCTCTGTAAGTATATTACCTATCTACATGTTATTTGCTATTGTAATTTTATGCTTGTGTTTACAGTGCTATTTACTGTAAACACGTTAAATTAAGAGACACTCTAGAAGGAAAAAGGCTTTAGCACATACAGATACCAAACATGATCCATATAGATCATATGGATCCCAAACATGGTAAGGACAAGGCCTGCTATTCTATTTGCTTTAGTAAAACCTACAGCACACAAAACCTAACTATATTTTTGCATGGTACTCAAAGTACCTTGAGGTTTCAGCTTGACTAGGGATTTTGGTGCTAAAACAGTATAAACAAAATTATTCACCATAGAAATCATAGAACTTACCAACTGATTTATTCTTGAGATGCTATAGAACCAAATGACATGAATTTAGTGAGGTTAAGAACTTCAATTAGTTAATTACCTATCTGAAAATAATAAACTTTGTAATCCATATTTTGTTCTCAGGCATATTATACACTAGATATTCACTAGCTAGTATCCTTCCATACTATCTGGATTTATATGTTCATGTTGAGCTGAAAATACAATATTCAAAGGCTTCCACAGCTTTCTTAACTTAGGAAAAAACATGTTCATTTCTACAGTAAATGCAATTATCATTAATCTTCCTTTTTTAACTCAATTAATTTAGAAGCATACTCACACTGTACACAGAAATAAAACATGCACAGGCACAGAGTAAATTTAAAATAAATGTTTTATCTGTATAACCCAGTACTTCAGCTTATCTTCTCTTAACAGAGAGAAGAAAGCATGAAAAAGAGAAGCAACTTCTTTTCTGCTTCCAGGAAGAGTCCCAATGATTATAAATAACAGTATTATTACAGGCAGGTTTTAAAATTAGGCTCAAATTTACAACTAGTTTATAAAGAGTTAATCCATTTTTAATAGGCTGTATGCTAAATGCTAGCGTGCATCAGAAAAATTTGTGAGTAGATGCGTGCTGGCAACGCATGAAAGAACTTTTGGAATCTAAATAATCTTAAGAATTGTTTTGTCACTTATTAAAATGCTACTTGCAGTATGTTAACCCCTTTATAATTAATTCAAGCCTACTAACTGCCACTACCCTTGCTGTGTTAAGCAGTGAGAGTTTCTGCCAAAGCATAAATCCCCCAGGCAGTCTTCAGACGGGCACTATCAAGTCAGCCCTGTCACTCAGTAGTCTCAGCTGTCACTCCGCACTGCCCGCTCACACTGGCTGTGGGGTGGGCAGGTGACAGAGTGGTGTGACAGCAGCCCTCCAGCCCGGCCTCAGTTGGATGGTTAAACCTGTGCTTCATGGTCCAAAGCATGCCAGTATTAAAGGCTGCACTAGGCAACCTCGGACAGACTTCTCGAGAAAGCATTTTACCCATAATCTACTTAGTATTTCCTTTGCATAAATATTGTTGTACCCACAGATAAAGAAACACTACGACTGTTTTCAATTAGTTGACAGTCAAGACCAGACTTCCATCACAGCACAAGAAAAATACCAGTCACCGTGCAAGATTGCAGGCTCCCACACAGGCGAGCAGATCACTAGTAGCAGATCCCAGCAACGACCATTAGTTTAGCTGGGCTTCCAGACACATGCTTAGAAACAGCTGATCCCAGCAAGGAGTTGGACTCAATGATCCTTATGGGTCCCTTCCAACTTGAGATATTCTATGATTCTCTATTTATTTCAGTCCCTGATCCTGTAATTGATGGCAAAAAAGCAAACTCCTCCAGTTGCGTGGAGGTTGAGTTTATAGCAGTTCACAGAATAATTTGGTTTGGAAGGGCCTCAGGAGGTCACCGTTTGCTACCTTCAGTTGGAGGATTTGGACTCGATTATGTGGGTCCATGTGAACTGGAAGAAATAATTTGTCACAAGTTTAGAAGCCAATTAAAATAACAGATTATTGGCTAATGCCTTTCAGCCTTCTGTGTAAAAATAGCCTGTAATCATACTTCTATCCACTTCCAATGGATATGCTTCATTTGCAATTCCCTGTCAAATCCCATGACTTGCTTACACTGTGTAAGCAAGGTAAGTGTTTATCTTGCACATGGGACACCCAGCCATTTGCTTTAGGACAACTCCAAATAGATGTCCATAGGAAGAATAACCTGCCAAAGGCACTGGCTAGCCATGCTGAAGCTCAAGGAATGAATTTGCTAGTCGTGGTCTCTTATTCCCAGTTTACAGTAGACCAGCGATATCACAGCCTCAAAAGACACATAGGAAGAATAACCTGCCAATGGCACTGGCTAGCCATGCCGAAGCTCAAGGAATGAATTTGCTAGTTGTGGTCTCTTATTCCCAGTTTAGAGTAGACCAGCGATATCACAGCCTTAAAAGACATAACCTTACAGAGATAAAATACACAAAGTTACACTGATATTTTGATTGTGTGCCTGGTTGGCACCTTCTTTTATTTCAAAAGGCTCACCCTGTTTCCTACAAGGGACCTGTCTCTCACTGGTATTCTGAATGCCCGCGCCTGGTCCCCACCCAACTGTCAGTTTACCTGGAAAATCCAAGCAAAAAATCTCTCTCATGTGCCTCTGAACTGCACAGAATGCAAAAATACTAGGTTTTAGAATGCCTTTACACGATTCAATTTTGATGTTAACACTTTTGAAATAGCTATTCATCCCTTGCAAAACCAGTAAGAGACACAGACGCAGAGCAGTCCGCTAGGAGCCGTAGATACTAATCGGCTAGGTGGCCATACTGTGTAGACAACCAAGAATCCCAGTCTAAAAATACCAGTATCAAGAATCAAATGAATGGTTTTGCGTATCTAAAGAACAAAGCACCAGTTCAGAATAATGATGCTATTTATAGGGCTGTGGAATAATATGCATGTACATTATGGATATTCTTTAACTTCACAGATGTGATTTTATTCTGTTACAGCCATCATGACTCATATTTAAGACTTACAATATACAGAACAGAATTAAATGAAAGTCAGCAGAGATTTGTGTCATACTTTATAAGGATCTATATGTATATATTAACATTAAGATAAAAAAATACTAGGTATGGCCAATACTAAAGTAGGTAATTGCGTATTACCGCAATGATGATCCTTATGACACTGAGTTTGAAGAGCTATGAACAGAAGAGAATATTCTCAGCGTAAAACTACAAAAGAGCTTTAGCAGAAACTAGGGGCATAGACTACTGTGGCCAGGCCATACTTGTGTGTCCCCTGGCAGTTTATTAGATACTCGATTTTGTAAATCTTCAACACAGCTTTTACAATGGACCATGGCCACATTTTACTTATAGCTGAATAAAAAAAGGACTATTTTGGGTTATTTTTGTGTCCAAACAACACTATACACATTTTGGAAAGCATCATTCCCACTAGCTATCTGGGGTCACTTTTCACCTAGTGTAAATGGAAGAATATGACTGCAGTGTACCAGCAACAGAAGTGTAGTAACTCGTGGTATTGTGCAAATACTTAATGTTCACCTCAGTGCTGGAATAAAAATATCTACAGGGTGTTTTTTAGGATGAGCTAGAGCAAATTTAATGTGAAGAGTTCAGAACAGTTGGAGGCATTTTTGAGTTCATGTCACTATATTCATGGAAGATAGTGACTCTCCAGTTAAATCTTGACTGTAGATGCAATGTATCTAACCAGTCAGTGGACTGATACACGATCCCTTCTGCTGTTCATCTGCAGGGGATACAAATTGTGCTGTTAAACCTGAGGTTTGCTGTTTGACCTTTCAGCTCTAGCAGGTTGCTTTTCAATCCTGAGTTATTTGGAAAAGTAGTTATCTTCCCCTTCAACCGTAGAGCGATCCTACAGCTGCTGGCCCCCACTGGAGGCGGCTGAGTTCAGAATCACCACTAGATCACACTTTAAACAGTGATCCAAATTTGTTAAGACTTTTCAGAATAGCAAAGCTAGATGCCCAATCGTACTCAAGTTCCCAAATCCTGCAAGTCACTCAAAATACAAGCTATAAACAGCAGGTATTTCCTTTGCTGTTCATTTGTTTAGCGTAACACAAATCATCCTGCACTCATACCACTGACAGACACAAAAGAGAACACTCCATTTGCCCTTCAGTTCAGAGAGGCCGCTCATTGTTCACTTCCTCATCTGGAAAAGACTGTAAACAAACCAACCTGTTTGGCCAACTGATCCTTCTTCACCAAGCCAGTGGCTGCAGCAATGTTCCCTGCTCCTTCCACTGTCTTCTGGGCCACCGCCGTCACTCCTGTCACCACAGCTCCCCCAACATTAGACACTTGCTCTTTGGTCTTCTCAGCCACTGAGAAGCAGAAGATGGAAAAACACATTACGGCTCTGGGAGCTGTAAGTTTTTCAGAGAATCGTATCTATCGCTGACAGCCCAACATCATGAAGAGCCATAAGGCCATTACACTTTGTGTACCCCAAGCGGATCTTAAGAAATAAGACTATCCATCTGGTAACACTGGAGCAACAGAGGTAAAAATAAGCCTTATTTGCAGCTCAATTTCTTTCACGTGGGAGACATCTGACAATTTCATTTATGTCTAGTTGTACTTTAGCGAAGAAAAGTTATTACTTAAGGGCCCTTATTATGCCCAACTCACTGTGTAATGTGTAATAATTGCATTCAATATATCCCAGTTTGTAAATGCATTCCAATTAGTCCACCAAACACTTACTGCATGTTACAGGGCAAGGAAGAGAATATTGTTTACATTAGACTCAAAATCCATTAATTAGTCTTTTATTTTTATTTTTTAAAATATACTTGATTAATAAGCAGAGCTACTGTTGCTCAGAGAATTTCTAACACAACCTTTTATCTGGTTCTCTAAGATTTTTGCCCCGCTGCTGATGTGTCCATCCATAACATACTAATCTACAAAAAGACTGAATGCCAAAGATGCCTAGGCAAACTGAATTAATAGCTAACTTCCAAGCCCCAGGGAAACAACAACTCATTTAGCCTACATATACATCAGTGGTTGCCATTCTACCTTTCAGAATATTACTGGGTTCTTTCTGCTCATTCATCCCCAAGGGCTCTTTCTGACAGCAGCCTGCACTACAGTGAAACCGCTCTAAGAAAAGAGATGGGATGACTTCATGCCTTCAAATTACATGGCCAGATTTTCAGGGAAAAAAAAAAAACGCATTTACTCATCTAAACAAGGGACCGTTCTTCAAAAACATCCACTGGATAGCTTTGTAGTTCTAACTAATCCTATAGTTTCCTTCAGCCCAAATCCCATCTGATCCACAAAATTTATTCATAGCTCTATTTGCACCCTTTATGAGCACGGCATGGATTCTACTTGGCAGATAGGCCACCCTTTCAGAGACTTTTTTGGGAAGCACACATGAAGAGAAGACTTTCTGTGGATAAATTAGATTTCTTTAATTCCTTACATAAAGAATATCAGCTGTCCATATCACAGGGCACACAGCAGAGATTGCTATGATTGACAGTAATAAAAATCACATATCAGGCACATTGTTTACCTTTCTAGCTTTTTCCTAATTGTTATTTAAAGACCCAAATAATAAATATCTGCTGACTGAAAATGGAGGCAGATCATTTAGCACTCATTCTAACTAACTTAAAGTGAAAAATTAGTAACCCATTGAGTATTATCTCTATTATGACCAACACCAGAAGCTTTCATTATAGAGCAGGACAACAATGGACTATACATTGTCTGAAACTAGAAACAGAAAAACAGTCTGTTCCAAAGATCTTTCAACCTATACATGCTAATAAGATATAAATCCACAAGAAATTTCATTGTATCCATCCAGTACTCTATGGCCATGCTTTTTCCAGAAAAAAAGTCAAAAATGGGTTTTGCTGAAAAGCAAATGTTGCCCTCAGGGAAGGTTTGACATAGTGCAGGAAGATATCTATTAAGATGCCCTATTTCATTATTACCACCTACAGACTACAAAAGCTCTGGATTCTACACATGAAGTCTATATAGAAAGTTTTTCACTAGTTCTTGCAAACACATATCTTAAGGTCGTGTCCTAGTAACACGTTATATCTTCCAAAGAATATTAAGATCTGATTGTGCACGGAGTCATTCAGAAACAAACTGAGTAACACTATGAGATGGAAACTTGTGAACACTTTCATATTATTTAGAATGGCAAGAAGAAATCTCAAACAGAGCTATGTAAAGAAGTAGCATCTTGCAAAAATATGCTTTAAGGTAAGTAGTATTCTCCAACAAATTAAAAAAAAAAAAAAAAAGAGAGATGTGTTTCAGGTAAGTTTCGGTATTGCTTTTTATTTTTTGTCTGTCTCATTTCTTTTCTGGAAAAGAAGGAAAAAGAAAACAAACCCAACAGAAGACATATACATCAAGGTCCTTTTTTATGTATATTTTTTTTTCTTCGGGTTTTTTTTTTTTTAAAGGAAGTGACATACACTGTTTTGAAAACTCCTTTTTCCAAAAATAAGTTGAATGGCAGAGCATTTAAAACAGACAAATTCAGCAGGCTTGATGCTGACAAAGGATCACATGCTCAGCCACTCTTAAGCAGACTCCTCCCTTCTGATAAAATGATAAAGCATGGCTGCACTGTGTCCATTGTCAACAGTCATAACTAGTTTCATTATTTCAAGATCTTAAAAAAATGTACCTCAAAAGCAAAATGTGAAGAAAGAGAGTGAAGTTTGGCGCACTGTGGATGCTACAATATAAAACACCTAATTCCTGATGCCACTATTAAAACCCCATTTCTCAGACTATGTTGTCATGGCAAGTACGACCACCTACCAAGAGCAACTATCCAGTGGCTGCTGTTCCCACTATTGGAGCATTTCGGGAAAGCTCTGTCTGAAGCCTATTTTCTCCTCCCAGAAACACAGTACCCTAGGAAAGGCATGGTACACGCAAACAAAACAAAAAAGCAAAGAATCAGGCTGCTAGCACTGTTACTGGCACAACAACAAGATACCTGATAAAAGCAATAACAAAAGCAGTATATTTAAGATTGCTTCTACTTCAGACGTAGCCTAAGAAAGCTGACACAGAAGGTAGCATGAAAGATCTCTCATATACTGCTTCAGAAATCAGAGCCATGACAATAAATCCGGTAAACTACACACATAGCACAGATTTGCAAAAGCACTCATACTAGTAGGAGAAAGAGAGTCTTCCTTCCTGTCTCTATGGAATACCTAGACACCATCAAAGTCCCTATTACCAGAGTGACTCTAAATAAGCTCCAGCTTGGTGACCCTTCAGCTCTGGAACCCTAGTGACAGGAGAAAAACACAAAATAGGTTTCCAGTCTCATATTTTATTGCTTACACTAAGTAGCAACAGGGGAAAAGCTTTAAGTGCGCACAAACAAATCAGTTCAGAATGCAGGGGATTGATACCAGCTAATTAAATTAATCTGAATACCAGGTTGTTTAACGATCTTAAGCCATTAAGTCTTTGTAAAGCTGATGTCTGCTTTGCATCACAGTGCTGAGAAACAGAGTAAATCAGTGCCTGCAAAGCTCTGCCATGCTACAGCCTGATTACTTCTGTCCATCTATGCAGAGACTGTCCACTCCAGTAAACGATCCTGGGATTGTGTACAATGACCATGCCAAGGCTAACTTTGAAACTGAAGTTCTAATACTGACTATAGCACTGTGCAAAAATTATTAGCATTGAAGTTTTCTTTTCCCTACTTATTACAGACAACTGGGTAACATACGATATTAATGAGAAACCTTTGGAGCAATTCAAAATGAGAACTAGTTGCTTTCAATTTTGAACAATAAAAGTGGATGAAAACCACAGGGTTTCTCTGAATTAATGAAATTACTCTTACTGCACTAAAAATACTTTTGAATATATATTTCAGACAACAAGGTTGCCTGAGGTACTTGAAGAATTTGTTTACAAAGAAGCCATAAATACATTGGGGGTTCTTTAATTCATACAATTTACTGTAAGGTACCTGATGGAGTTAAAACAAACACAACAGGAATACCAGTGACTAAGAATGTTAAGAAATACAAGAGTGATCAGATAAAAGAATTAAGCAAAACACTTGACTATGTTTCATAACTGTTGATATTGTATCTTGACTCAGCTTCATGAAACAGTCAGGTGGTTGAACTATCAAGGGCTTTTTGGCCCTGATCTTTTGTACAAACCAGTGCTTTACTTTGATTATCAGGATATGGACTGTAAATATTTCATCTTTGATACTGTACATTTCTGGATACTTATCCCTGGGAGATAAGCAAGACAGATGAATTATGCATTTACAGTCAAAGGCCAGTAGACATGTTAATTAGGCAGGCAAGTCAGATACGCAAGCTAACACCCCATAAAACCAATAAGCAAAGCTTCTTCATCTTCAGAAGTTCTGAGAATGGGTGACCTGACGAATAACATGCTCACCGTATTCCTGTGAATCACAGCCTGGTATCCTCATTTTACAGTGTCTTGATGCCAGTAAACCTGGTACAATCAGGTCATACTTTGTTTAAAGCAAGAAACATCTCAGTCTAGTATTTCTGCATTTGGAAAGCAACTGACCAAAAAGCATATTTAGTTGTTCAGCACTTTGAGGTGTGTTAGCTCCCAGTCCCTTCACCAGCAAAGGGTTTTAAACCACAAACTATTAAAAAATAGCAAAACTAGCAAGACCTTGGAAGTCAGACAGTAATAAAGGACTGACTGCACAACTGTGAACACACACTCATTTTGATCTGCAATTCTAGTTTGCATTTGACTGTCTCCAACCTCTTGAATCCTTTTTATTCACATAACAAAACATGTTATTTCATCTCAGGTTTCACATGATATTAACACCCTGGTGCATCATAAGACCACCAGAACTGGCAAACTCCTAGTCCTGTGAAGAGAGACAAGTAGGTCTTTACAGGTGCCCTAAAGGCTGTTTTGTCACATCAATTTTAATAGCGTTGATTTAAATGGATTTGATTTCTAAGACAACTTCACTAGCATTTCTCAGTGTCTTCGTATTATATCTCATAGCATTGCTACAGTGAACCCAAATCTGTTTTTACCTACCTTCTCTGCTTGCCAGAGCAACTCTTCATAGACTTGCAATTTTTAAAATTTTTTTTATTTTTAAAATATGTACCCAAGCAATTCCTCTGTTCTTACACTACCAAGCCCATACTGTTTCATTTTAGAAACCATGCTCTCTGGATTTTGCATTAGGTCTCCTCTTCTCACTGCCACATTTCAACCTGCATGTCCTCTATTCATTTTCCATTTTCATTCAACAGCCAAACTCCTTTTGAACAGTTTAATAGGCCAGAAGGAAGCAAACATATGTACCCAAGCAATTCCTCTGTTCTTACACTACCAAGCCCATACTGTTTCATTTTAGAAACCATGCTCTCTGGATTTTGCATTAGGTCTCCTCTTCTCACTGCCACATTTCAACCTGCATGTCCTCTATTCATTTTCCATTTTCATTCAACAGCCAAACTCCTTTTGAACAGTTTAATAGGCCAGAAGGAAGCAAACTGTGGCACGGAACCCATTATTCCCAAGCTTTGGGTGTTTCACTTTGTGTCACCCATTTCGTAAAGTTGGTGAGGAGCGACCACTGTTTTGCCTAAAATTTGCAGTAACTTTTCTGAATTTAACATCTTTTGAAACCTGTCAAAAATTCTATTCATCTACTTAAAATTTCCTGTCTCACTACACATATTGCAATCAGATAAAGATGGATACTCACAGCATTCGGGACCAGGTGTTTCTCTCAGGAGGAGAGAAAGAAATTCCTCACTAAACTAGCCTACTAGAGAGTCCCAGTGCTTCAGGAAGTTTCATACATGTGCAAATGCCCTTGACTTATTCTACCACAGCCCAGCTTGGTGAACATCACCTCCATTAACTTGCTTGCTAGTGCTGTCAGTTGCTGTTCCCACATCTGTGATATTAGATATATGTGCTTCATTCTACTGCAATCCTCTACTGGTTATGGTAATGATCCCTCTGAATATTTCTCTTAATTGAGGTCTAACAAGCTGAGATTTCAAACCTCATAACAAGAACGTGCATGTTTAGCCTGAGGCTAAACTCTGAAGGACCATCATAGATGCTCAGTTTTGTTACTAAAAATACTCTTGACTGACTTCTCAGTCATTTATTTGTGTTGTGATATTAAGTGCTTCCAAGTTTCCCTACAGCTGTTTATCCTTTGCATTGGCTTATGTGAGCACAGGTGAATGATACACTGGCTATACACAGAACAAAAAAAGAAATCCTTTTCTACTCCCTTATTTGATTTCTAATTTCTCAGGGGAAAGACACCTTAAATTTCTTGACCACGCATTTTCTTCACATGTCCAGAAGTCCCATATTCTACAGCAGAAAATTACACATTCTATTCAATGCACTATGGTCAGCTGAGGTTTTCCTACACTCTGTACAGATCAAAGACTTCCATTCATTTTGCCACTTACTACAAATTATTGGTTACTGGTTTCAGTTCATAGCTAAAATGATCCCTGCAAATCAATTTAAAATGCAAATTTACTCTTTTTCAGTGTAGAAATGCTAATGTGAATATACATGCCCAACATTAACTTCAAAGTTTGAAAGTGCTGTTGCTACTGAGAGATTAGGCAGTTCTAAAAAACATTTCAAAACCCTCAAAACTGTGACAAATTCAAATCAGTTTATCGAAACTCTGAAATTTGTTTCTTTCCTGTAAGCCATTTCCCTTCTATCTTCCCACCCAACCAGCTCCAGTAGGACACATTGATGAGTCACAAGAATCTTTCAGGAATGGAGGGAGTGATGGGGCATGTCCACACTGCAGCGGCAGCACGACTGGGGGTGCAGCAGGCACGCCTTATCTGAAACTGCCCTACCTGTATGTTGTTGGAAACAGACCTCAGGCTGGGATGAAGAACCACTGAGAGCACAGGTGATGCCCAGGTATTAAGCTCACATGGAATTCTCTGCAGCCACAGATGTACCAGTTTAAAGCCCTCTCAATCAGTCCTGCCAGCTTACCAGCAAAGACACATTTTCCTCATTGGGACAGGTGGATCCCATCAGGCCCCAGCATACCTTGTGTTTCAGACTCTTCCATGATCATAAAAACCAAAGTTCTGGCAGAGGCACCAGTCCTGGAACCAGTATTGATGTCCTGGGCATGCCTGTTTCTTCCAAAGTCTCTCCCCATTACTGGGAGGATTGAGGAAAACACTACCTGTGCTTGTGAACCTTTTAGCAGTCTTCCCAGGGCCCTGAAAGCTCTTTTGATCGACCTTGCACTTCTGGTTGCAACATCTTTAGCACCCACGTGAAAGATCAGGAGTGGGTAATAGTCTGAGGGCCGTACTAAGCTCGTCAGTCACCTGGTAACATCCCTGATTGGGGCCCCAGAGAGGCAGCAAACCTCCATGAAAAGAGGGTCTGGTCTGCAAATGGGTGCCTCCATTCCGCTCAGGAGGGAGTCACCAGTGACCATAACTCGCCACTTTTTCTTCTTGGCGCTGGTCTTAATGCAGGTCTTGCTGCGAGAGGTTGGTTGATGCGCCCTTGGCGAGGGTGCTCACATAGGTCTCTCCTCTTCTACCTTATCGTGTGCTTTGTCTACCGTACCCAGAGCCTCATACCTATTCTGTGAAGGTAGCCGAGAGGGTTCCTCTTACAGCTCCGTGCAGTAACCTGCTTCCACCCCTCCCTATGCCCCGTAACACTGCCCTCCTCCTGGCACAAAACCTGGACCTACCTCCGTAGCGGCCACGCTCAGCTGGCTCGCGGGCACCAGAGATGGCAGCGCACAGCTCCACGGGTCCATCTCCTTCTCAGACCCTCTGATGCAACCCGTCCCGCCCACCTCCTCCTGCGGCTCGGCCACCGGGCAGAGCAGCTCATCCGCCAGGTCACACCTCCCGCAGGCGCGCACGCTATCGCCCTCCCCCTCGGGGAGCGCCCCCCGCACACACCCCGCAGCCTGAAGCCCGGACGGCTGCACGCTGCGACCGGGGC